TAATATTGTGTTCAGCTTCAGGTAATAGGAAATCCAAATAAGAGTGGCTTAAACACACAATAGTATTTTATTTTAAGAAGGCCAGGGGTAAGCATTCAAGCCAGGTGGCAGTTCAAAATGCCAGTCAGAAAGCAGGTTTCATCTTTAATAAAAAACTAACATATAATCACCACATAGCTTTGGAAATTTTGACTCATGTCCTTACTTGTGTAAATCATTTTTAATAAGAAATAACATATTACAGATACAGTTGAACCCCTTGTGTCTCTCCTACCACAAAGTTAAGCATTATCCTGAAGTTGATGTTGGTATTTCCAAGTGTTGTATTTTCATTTTCGGTATATGTATATGTATCCTTAAACATGCGCAGTATAGTATCACTTGTTTTTTAATATTTATATAAATACTATCAGACTAAGTATTCTTGACAAGTTATTTTTTTCACCCAACATTGTTTTAAAGATTTAGCCTTGTTCATAAATATCGCTCTAATATATTTTAATAGCTCTAGATTGTATGACCGCAACACAATTATGCAATCCCCTGTTGATAGCCATTTAGGTTAATTCCAATGGTTTGCTATTATAAACAAGGTCGCAATAAACATTATTTTTGGAAGCGCGAACGAGCCATTCCAATATGGAGGGGTGGATGAAGATCTCAGAACGTTGAAAATGGGAAGGAAACCCGGAATATCCGCAACTATAGTTTTTATAGCGCATTTAAATTGAAATAAAAATATCTGTTGGACCTTATCTGAAGAGCAGTTGACTTTTCCCTCCGTACCCACCCCCACAGGCGCTCATGGTACCGGCGCCGCTCCAGCTATCGCTGCCGAAGGGAGCTGACTAGGGTCAATTTAAATCATGCAGGTTGTAAGAAACACGGGGTTTTTGTTCCTGCGGTCCTGGAGTTGGCCCAGAACAAGGGTCATAGCTGGGTCGCCGGCCGGGACAATCCACACTGGCGCGCCAGAGCTGCAAGACGCGGTGGCCAAGCAGGAAGTTGAGGAGAAGGCTGCAGCTCCGAGACGCAGCCCCTTCAGCATTTACCCTCCCATTCCAGGAGAGGAGAGCTCTCTGAGGTGGGCAGGAAAGAAATTCGAAGAGATCCCGATCGCACACATTAAAGCATCCTACAACAACACACAGATCCAGGTAGTCTCTGCCGCTAACCAGCCCCTTGCCCGTGCTTCCTGTGGCACGGAGGGATTCCGGAATGCCAAGAAGGGCACAGGCATCGCAGCACAGACAGCAGGCATAGCTGCAGCCACAAAAGCTACAGCGAAGGGTGTGACTTATGTCCGAGTTGTGGTCAAAGGCCTGGGGCCGGGACGCTTGTCTGCCATCAAGGGACTGACCATGGGGGGCCTGGAAGTGATCTCAATCACAGACAACACCCCCATCCCACACAATGGCTGCCGCCCCAGGAAGGCACGGAGGCTGTGATGAGAAGGTTGACCTCAAGTCTCA